AACTTTTTTTTTTTTTTTTTTGAGATGGAGTCTTGCTCTGTCACCCAGGCTGGAGTGCTGTGGTGCGATCTCGGCTCACTGCAGGTTTCGCCTCCTGGGTTCAAGCAATTCTTCTGCCTCAGCCTCCTGAGTAGCTGGGACTATAGGTGCACACCACCACATCTGGCTAATTTTTGTATTTTTAGTAGAGATGGGGTTTTGCTATGTTGGCCAGGCTGGTCTCTAACTCCTGACCTCAAGTGATCCACCTGCCTTGGCCTCCCAGAGTGCTGGAATTATAGGCGTGGGCCACTGCACCTGTCCTTTAAAAACATTTTATACTAAGTCAGAACCCGAATTTAAGTTCAGAAATGCTATCAAAGGAAAACCAGGCAAATTTCACACAATAAATTTTTATTTAATGCTTGTTGATGCTTGTAATATATGATGCCTGTTGTCTCTAATGCAGATCCTAATTTATTTATCCAAAATGGTAAAATTGAAAATAAAAGGGGTAAAATTTTTTTATATACTCATAGCAAAACTTGTAGATGACTAAAGTAGTCCTACAGATAGGATTTAAGAAATCCACTAATTTAAAAATATTCATTAGTTTCTTTTGGTCTGTATTCATGGAAAAATGATTTTAAATCATTTCTGATAAAGTGGAGCACATAAAAGTGAACAATTTTTAATGCCAAATTAAATTCAATAAGCATCTCATGCTGGAGTGAGAGAAGGATCTCGCAATGCTACTGGTAATGAATGGGCTATAAATGGTGATTGCTGGTGACAAGGCACTGGACACCGATTGCCATCCTAGAAGGGGCATTATTTGCCTTTCCTGAATGCTTCAGGGTATAGGAGGAAGTGGCTGCTTCTAAGCTGTTAGCACCCATTCTACCCTAGGAGATACCCAGCAGGTGTCCTGGTGAGGGTGCACAGCCAGGGGTCATGGCTCCCTGCACAGATCCACTCATACCCCAGTCTTTTCCAGTTCAGGCAATGGCTCAATCTCCACACAGATGTTAAGGCTGGAAGTAAATTAAGTCATCCTTAACCTCTCTTCTCCCATGTGCCCTATCCAATCCATAAATAAATCCTGTTGAGTATGCCCTCCAGAATATATTCTGTGTAACCATTTTCATCACCTTCCCACTGCCACCCTGGTCAAGACAGTGTTGTCTGTCATCTGGACTGGGGCAACAGCCTCCCTGTTTGCTTCTCTGTCCCTTCTTCTACCTTTTCCTCCTTCATTGAAGTGTAATCTACAT